GAAACAAACAAATTAGGCACTAAGAGAACCACTTGTCAAATGGCTGGGATAGTGCAATTTTAAGTTACTGACTCCCCACAAACATCTAGTCTACTAAAAAATTCATAAAGAGACAGATGGCACAACAGCAGCTCTTTGCAGGAGAGCAAGGTTTAGCAGTGAACAAAGGACTTTGACTCCCTAGGACAAGGGGAGAGATAATTGTAGGTTTTGGGGGGTTGGAAGGGGGGATTGGGGCACGCAGGGAGCTGGGAAGAGCCCCTGGTTTCACCCCACAGCAGATCCCAGATTTTTGTTTTGCCTTGGCAGAGCCACGGGGGCCACAGAGAACAGGAACGATCAAACTCTGCCATGCTGAACCCTCCTGGCACCAGGAATGGGACAAATAAACCCCAAAACCTCCTATTGAGGGGTCTGAAACCACTTTCCACAGCCAGGTAGTTGCTAATGTGTTAATGGGGAAGCTAAGGCAGTGATTTGTGTCACTTTAAGGTGACAGGGCAACCCAGTGTCAGTGGGAATTTAATCCAGACCTCTCCAGTCTGGCTGTTCTGCCTCCCACAATGAGGAAACATCCTCGTGTTACCCAGTGGGTTTTGGAATCACCCCAAAGGGAGGTGTCATGGATAAAGCCCTTTTCAGATGGCTGAGATTAAGAGAAAAGGAAGAAAAAGAGAAAAGAAAGGGAAAAAAAAGGAAAAAAAGTCAGAAATCTGCACTTCTTTGAAGTTAGATCCTTCAAAATGAAAATTCATCTGTGTTCTTTTGCAGTTTTTTAATTGAGGTAAAATATTCATTTGAATGACATAAAAATTTCTTTTGACTGTTCAAGAGGTTTCATTTAAATTACATGTAAATTTCTTTTGACTGGTTCTGTCCATTAGAAAAAAAGAGGAGGGGGAAAGGTAAAAACCCAAAAATGAAAAATTTTCACCTAAAAAAGTCATACCAATTCTCCCCTGTACCACAGAGCCTTCAATTAAACCACAGCTTCAGCAAACTTCAGTAAAGCATTAAGAGGAACAAGTAGACAAAATAACCTCCCCTAATGAGCTTGAGTCTTCAAGGAACACAAAGAAAACTAAAAAATCAAAATATCATTGCCACTTGATGAATTTATATCCAAAATTACACAACTCACCTACAATGAGAGAGAAAATCTGCAGTAAAGTGATTAATTAAATTAATTTGCATCTTCCATGACCTCTTAATCCTAATAGCAAGGTTATTTTTATTTGCATAAACAGGGTAGGAAAGGCATCAAAGTGAGTCATTCTAGCACAGGTGTAACAAAATACAGTTTTCAGTTGGAAGTGCCACGTTCAAAGGAACGAGCTTCCACCCTTCCATCCAAAAGTTCCCCAGACCCTGCATCTCACATCCCTGTCTGTGATTTCCATAAAGGAAACACAAAATTCACTCCCCGATTTCAAGGAACTACCGGGAACATCAAGAGCCATCACTTCAGAAATGAGAGAAGGGAGAAAAAATAGAATATTTCTATTTTGATGTCTCTTAAACCAACCAATCCCACAGATACCAACTTGAAAAGGCAAGCAGAAATCCAGGGTGAGTCCAGCAGAACTGGGATCCACCACAGGAACACGCCAGAACCAGCTCAGCTCTCACTAATTCTGGTTATGCACACAAAGCTTGCTGTGACTTTTGGAGAACTGATTATGGCTCATGATGTCCAAAACCTTGGAGTGCAAGTGCTTCTGGATTACAAATGCAATTCCAGGTCCTTCCAGCCCTGTGTTCCTGTGGAATTCCCAATGTTGGACACCTGTAAAAGCAGCAGTGCAGGATCTGAGCTGTGCCATCCCTGTTAAATCAGAAGCATCACTCTGAAATCCAATTCCATCCAGAGTTACACCGGAATTCTGGCTCAGAACATCACAGGAACCAAAATATTCCAATGTATCCTGCAGATCTCTGCCAGCAGGAGAGGGCACACACTCAATTTCAGAGGAGAAGTTCCCTTTCAGATGGAAACGTTCTCATTTCCAAGAGGGAGTGGAAAAATAACTGCAAGGGCCTTCGGATCTAAATCCAGTCCCGAGAGCAAAGGTCATTGCAAAAATGTTTTATTCAGCATCAGAACTTTTGGAATTCTTTCAAGGAGAAGAAAAAAGCCCAACAACAACCACAACGGGGCTGACATTTTTTTTTCCCACTGAACTATTTCTTCCTTTTTAAACAGGGATACAAGTCCCCAGCATTTGGTGAATTGTGTCTCCCTCCAGCACACAGCAGGTAAAAAAGGGGGTAGAGAAACAAATAAAGGGGAAATCACTATATTGGTGATGGTGTTACAGTTGAACTCCATGACCATGGGGACCTTTCCAATCTCAAAGATTCTGGAATATTATTCCATGGAAATTCTGTTTCGCTTTGCCCATACTGCTTAGGCAGAGCTCTGTATAACACAAAGGTGTTTTTGCAATTCTCCTCTCTCCATTTTCCTTTTTTCCCTTCTCCAGAGACACAAGACAATGTTACAGCTGGGTTGGTACATGGCAGATTTTTACATTCACCTATCATTTCACACCAGGGAAAAACACCTGTATTTCAATCACTATTTGAAGAAAACCTGTAGTTCATTTTAAATTAACAGCAACCCACCATGAAGGCATTACTGAGCTGAAAATATCTCCATATTTATTGACCCACATGGCTGCAAGGTGCACTTCAGAAATTATATTCCACCTGCTGCCAAGTCCCTAAGCAGAAGTGTTTTGCTTTAAAGAAGCACAGAAAGACCCCCTAAATAAATCAAAGCACTGCTGCCCAGAGTCCAGAGCACACAGGACTCTCCTTGTTTGCAAGACAATAAAAAATTTCCCCACAGGGTGCATTTTAGGGGAGTGGAGTGTGCAGTTAAACTCCTGCTTTGGTGCTGTGGAGGTGTGTGAGGATGACAGACAAGCCAAGGATTTTTCTGTGCACAGACAGGCACAGCACAACTCTGTAACTTTATTTTACAACTCTATTACTTTACTTGCATTAGGTGCTGATGGAGATGTAGCACACAGGATTATCCCTCACTCCTCAAGCCCTGTTTGAAGAGGTGGAACAGAAATAACTGTGCAGAAATAACTCTGCCAGAAGGAGGAGTCACTCTCTTGATGCTGCACCACCAGACAGTGGCAGAAAAAAGAAAAATATTTAGCTTTGAGTTTTGCTTCTTTCACCAAGCCAAGTCTCCTTCAGACAGAAGGGCAGAGCTGGGATAAATTCTTCTCTCTGCAGCCTAAAACTGATTTAGTGACTGCCTTTAACACTGAATGGAGCAGCTTTATCAGGCTGCACCACTGATTTATTTCCCTCATCTCCCTTCACTGAGCTCTGGAGTTCACCTGGAATGGAGAAAGGGAAGGACCAACACACAAAAAGGAACAGCCACACTGAGCCTGGAGGATGCTTCCACGCCAAGAGAATGTCTATTGCTGTTAGCAGGGCAGGCAGGAAAAAAGTTCTGGGCTCAGAAGAAATTAGGAGAGGTCTGGACTAAGTTAGGAGAGATCTTAGAGTGCAACAGGTGATTGGTGATGCACATTTTATGCACAGCTGTTAGAAAGAAAAGCCCTGTCCTTTCTCACAGTTCCCATTTCATTTGACATCAGCAGATCCCAAAGCTCCCCGTGAAGCACCAGAATTTTCACTTTGCATGGCTCGGGATTCCAAATTCAGCTGGGGCAGGAACTGTCCCTGTCAAGGTCTCAATCCAGGGGCAAATCCAGGGCCTTCCATCCCCAGCTGCTTCCCAGAAAATTCAGACTTCGGGCTGGAGAGTTCCCAAATGCACATTCATACCAAGCATCAACACAGCCAAAAATAAGCTCGAAATTTCATCGGAAAGGTCAAGATGGCACATCCAGGACTCCTGCTTTCCAAAGAGCCCAAATTTCACTGCAGCTTTAAGCTCTGGCCCCAACCACAGCTTGTGAGCACAGAATTAAAAGGGGAAAACGTGGGGTAAAGGGAGAAGGAGAGAAACCATCACCTCATCAGAGTTCTAAAATTATTTAGATTAACTCCGTGATAAAAAAAAAGAAGAAGAAAATTATTGCAGATCTTTATTCAAACCAGTTTTACTGCTCTGAATGCCAAAACAAGTCCATGAGAAATACAGTGGCAAATAAAGCTTATTAGAAAGGAGACAGAACAGGCCAAACACAGATATGCAAAAAAAAAAAAACTGTCTCTAAAACCAATCCACTCCAGCATCAGCTCTCTTGTAGCATCTGCTCCAGGGAAAGGAACCCTGTAACAGTTACTGCAGAATAATCTGGGGGAAAACTTTTTCTTCCTGGCTTTTCCTTATTTACTGTTCCCCTTCTGGAGCCCTTATGTGTGTGCTCCTTTCTGAAGCAGCTCTGCCTGTTTTTATTTTCCCTGTCTGAGCCTTGCTGAGCTCCAGATTTCAAACCCTTCCATGTCAGCAAGTTCCACAAGGAAGTTTTCTAAGCTCCCCCAAATACACACAGTTTTTACAGTGCCACTTCATGGTTTAACAAACTGCTGTTCTCCCCATTTCTGTTATTGACCTAAAAAACAGCAAAGGAACCTAAACCTGGAACTGAAGCTGAGTAATACGCAAAGTTGTTCTACATAAAATTGCTCACAATCCCAAACCTGTCAGATTTAATGTTGCATTTTTGCTTTTTTACCCCTCCCTTTCTCCCTACATTTCTACAAAAATATTGCTCTTTTGTTAAAGAGCATTACTGAAGCTGCCAGGTTGCTCAGAGCTTTATCTGTCTCAGTAATCCAGTTGGATCCCATCCCTGCTGAGGAGAGAATGTTCCAGGTGGACACGTGGGATATTTGGTCACAATAAAAACACAATTTCATTTTAAAAACAAACATAAATTTTGTCAAGGTCCCCAAATGGCAGGCATAAACAGATGACCAGTGAGAAACAATCTCTGGTGATTCAAAGTGAAAAACAACAATTTTGGGATGCTTTTGCAGGAAAATGAGAATTCATCTCCTACCTGTCAATGATCACAGGGTCGGACGGAGTCTCATTTCTGTTGCCACAACTTTTCTTCTCACAGCACCGACTGGAGAGGGAAAGAAAACCAAAATTAAAGAACACACGAGAGCAAAGAACCAGCTCAAAGTCTGTCAGAAAACCTTCAGTGCTCAATATATGCCTGGAAGGGTAAAAGTTCTGCTTTCCAGAAGGGAAAATTAAGGGAATTGGGTGCCTAAGTCCTGGCTGGTTCCAGCTGGAGTTTGCCACTTAGCTCCCTGTAATCTATTCTGAATTACCCAGCCAAAATTGAACCACACTTGAGACTGAGGTGATATTTGTAAAGGTCTAATAAGTGATTAACAGATGTCATAACGTCATTACAGGCAGGACCAAATGGGTTATGTGGAGAAAAAAGTCCACCAAAAGGTGTTAGAACTGACTATAAGCAACCTAATGGTTTGGTATATTCCAATATTATTTTTTATATTACTGTATTTTGTTATTATTAAATATCTACGTTTTACATGGTGACTTCAGCACTCTAGGAAAAGCCAGAAACTGAACATATTTAGGTCTTACAAAGAATCTGAAGAGATGTTTTTCAGGTTGGCTTTGCAATCCCTTTGCGATTGTTCCAGTGATAAACCCTTTAAGTTAAGTATTAATGTATACATATTCAATGATAATATTAATTATAATAAATAATAATGAATATTTTTAAATCAAAAGACAGTTCATTATTTCCGCTGGTATAATCACTGACATGGATGATGCTCCTGCACAAAGAGTAGCTGAGCACCAGGAGTTAAACAGACTTTAAATACAGCCCCTGCTCTGGGATCCTCACTTTTAATAATCTGAAGCAACAGAGAAAATTTAAGCTTTTTTCATGCTCAGGTTTTTCGTTTCAGTCAAAGCCAACATGGGATGGGGAGGATGGAGGCACCCAAAAGTTTAAAAGTCTCAATCAGAAGTCCCACATCCCTCAAAAGTCACCAGAGCAGATGCCTTTCTCGAAGATATTTTCCATATTTTGCAGAGGTTTCTGTTCATATTGACACACATGGATGAAGAAATTTTGGTGGTTTTTTGTACCGGGGTGCTGAAGACATTTGCAAAATTCTGAAGCACTCTGAGTGCCAGAGCTGCCCAACTAGGGAGCAATTCCAAGCAGAATAAAAGAAAGAATTTTTTAAATAAATTAAATAATAAATAATAAATAAAATACTTGAATTCATTAAAGGAAGAATAAAATATTAAAAGTGGGGATTTTTTTAATATGAATAATATTTAATTACAAATGCCTAAAATGAGCATTTAGACAAAAAGCCCTCTTTCAGCTATGAAAAATCCCAACATTTCCTCCAGTTTCCAGGAAGTTCCTGCTCTGGGGCTGGAATTGCCCAGCCAGATGAGCTGGAAGGAGCAGATCTGTTTGAATAGCAGTTCTAACTGGTTCAACATTCCTACATTCCCCTTGCCTCAAACCTGCACTTATTCATCAATGCTACTCCTTTTAAAATAAAAGGATACACTAAATATTTAAAAATCCCTGGGGCAGCCCCCGTAGCTGCTGTAAATTGTCATGGCTCCATCGACTTCAGTGCAGCTCTGGTAATTCCCATCAGCACAGATCATCACCCTCCCTCCTTCTCCCAACTTTATTTTAAGTGCATCTTTTATAGATTTCACTGCCCAATCAGTGTTTAGAAAGAATGGAGTATTTTTATACCAGGAGCCAAAATGGGAGATGCTTTCTAAAGGAGAAAATTATAATAAATCCCCCCGAAATGCAGAAAATCCTCCAAAAGGAACATCAGTCTGGGATGTACTTTGACATGTCCAGTATAGCAACAAATGGAAAATAACATTTGGAATAAAATCTTTGCTGCTTTACAGGTCATTACAACAAAGCAAAAAAACTCAAAAATCTGTAGTGATTCCAGGGATGGTGCCACTTCTTGGCAGAGCATTTTGGGATGAATTCTGTGAGGCTCAGCACAATGTGGCTGGGTTCAGGAACAAGTGCATCTTGTTTTATTTCTATTTCCACTATTATTTCAGTTCTGAACTTTATATTTGTAATATTCAAATATGTTCCCTCTAAAACTGTGGCTTCCAGCTGAAGTTCTCCAAATATTTTACTGATATCTACATTCCTATCAGTTGGGGAAAGATCTTTGTAAGTGATAGACTTTTTTCCCTTGACCGTGGTACTTTCTGAGCCCAAATATGTGAAAAAAAATCTTGATGAGGGAGAAGAGCCACTTCCAGTGAAGGAATTACTGTTTGCACATAGATCAGGGTGGGACTGAGGATGTTTCAGCCCAACATTTTAGCAAAAAAAACCTGTTAAATTTTCAATCCCTATTTCCAAGAGGTTCACCCCCTATGCAAGCAGTAACAATTGCACTTGGTTGGTTTCACTAGTGCTGTCTGTAACAGAATTGACTGGTTCCAGTTTCAGTCCAAGCCAAAACCCCCAAACTCTGCTGGTCCAGGATCAAGACTGCAATATTCTCTTCAAGCAAATTATTGGCATGACTTCACCAACATTTACATTTCTGCTACAGTGTTGGGCTGGGAACACACTTAGAGATGCTCATTTGCTTAAGAATATCAAGGCTTAAGATGATTTTCTACACCTTTTGTTGTTATATTTTTCCCTCTAGTTAGGTCTACTTGGTGAAAATGATGGTTTATGTTAAGAATGGTCCAGAAAAAACTTAAACCAAACCCAGAAAGTTCCCAGAGACAAACCCAGCGCCCCAGAAACCTCACGTCAAAGCCAACCTTCCATCCTTTCCCCTCCTTGTACTTGACTAAAACGCTTTTAAAATTCATCCCTCAACTTTCCTCCCCTCACCCCAACAGCAAAAAGAAAAAAAAAATCAAAATTAAGAAAAAACCTAAACCAAACCCAGAAAGTTCCCAGAGACAAACCCAGCCGTACAAACTGAGCACCCCAGAAACCTCACGTCAAAGCCAACCTTTCATTCTTTCCCCTGCTTGTGCTTGACTAAAATGCTTTTAAAATTCATCCCTCAACTTTCTTCCCCTCACCCCAATGCCAAAAAGAAAAAAAATTTTAAAATTGAGGGAAAAGTTAAACCAAACCCAGCCCTAAAAACTGATCCAAACCCAGAAGCCTCACGTCAAAGCCAACCTTCCATCTTTCCCCTCCTTCTACTTGACTAAAACGCTTTTAAAATTCATCCCTCAACTTTCCTCCCCTCACCCCAACACCAAAAAGAAAAAAAAAAATTTAAAAAAAAAAAAATCTGTCTCTAATTTCAAACTCAAATAAGCTCACAGCATGGTGGCCTTTGTTTTGTTTTCTTCTGCCCAACTCCTCCCTGCAATTGCATAACAAAAGTGTTTAAATTCACACCATCTGGCCCAGAAAGACACGGGCCCCAGTGGCCGCCTGGCCCAGCTGATTGGAGCTCCCGCCTAGCCCGAGCCTTGTGGCGAAAGTCACAGCTGTGGGGCTCGCTCCACTCAATACAACTCTGTTATTAGCCAGCTGTAGGCCCTGAGACTACTTCTGTTCGAATTATAATACCTTTTAACCCTCTGAGCATTGAGGGCGCAGGGGGTTGCTGGCAGCAGCATAACAACGAGTTTCCTCTTCGTGAATAATTGGAAGAAAACAAGACGATGGGAATGGGGGAAGTTATTCCAGGAAGGTGTTTTTACCTTGATTTCCAGCTCTTTACGGTTGTGTTATTCCACACAAATGCGCCTAATCGGAACTGTTCCTATTAGGCCATAAGATGGATTTTTCCATTTTTTTCCAAACGGAAAAAAAATTCAGATTGGAAATTAATAAATGGAGCCTCGCGCTGGAAGCCCTGAAAGCACTAATTATTGAGAGCTGAACTTTCAATGGCTATGACAGATTGGTGCAGCCGTATCAATATTTAGACAACTTTCCTGCTAAGCAGGCATCTGTCACCCTCTGAGGGAGAGACGGGCATTTTCGGAGGAGCAAAAAATATCTTCATGTGTGATTCTGTACAGAAAAATCCTCCCCAAAAAACCCTACCTTTGACTAGGGAGGATTGGAAGAGGGGCAGAAAGACAGACGGACCCTTCTTGCTTTCCTTTTCAGAAGCAGTAGGCATCAATTTCAACAGCAGAGTGGGTACAACGCATTAAAATTTTATGTACTGTTCCTAATGCAAACTAAACTAGAGGCTTTAAAAATTGATGCTGCCACTTAAGCAGCAGACAATGAGGAAGATTTGATTATTGTACTTAAAAGAAATAAAATAAAATGTCAAGTTTAACTAGAGTTGGAGGCATTCCCCTGGCATTATTCAAAGTGATATGTGTAATGCCTCTTCAGAATACATAGCATCCTGCTCAGAGATACTTGAGGAAAACACGACATTTAAAATCAAATGTCTTCATTAGGTTACAGAGTGCTTTTGATTCCCTTCACTAATCTGTGTTTTACATGGGAAGGACATCCCCGAGTTGTAATTCTTCCTTGGCTAATCTATCAAGCAGCAGAGCTGAGAATAATCAGAATAATGGCTTAGATTTGTGCAACGCTGCCTTAAACCAAGCACAGAGGAGGTTTGCAGGCATCACTGGAGCTCAGAAATAGCAAAGAAATAAACGATACTATAAAGGTAGGGACAGGGAGCAGGGGGAAAGCCCAAATTAATTTGAAATCAAACATGTCCATTTGGATGAGAAGGTGGGAAATACTTGAACTTCCAAACCAGAACTGAGCTCTGTGCAGGGAGAGTGGGGACAAGAAATGGGCTCACTGCTCTTTATGTTATCACAAACTGCAATCCAATTGCACGAGAAATCAGACTTTTCTTCTCTAATTTTCACCTGGTTGCAGTGAAACCTTTCAACAATACCAATCCAGATATTTTATATATATATATATATATATATAATTATATACATGAGTCTAGATGTGCTAGAAAGTCACTTACACACCTTTGATCTTTGCCACTACGGGCCCTTGTAAAGCTCACCCAATGCATCCCTCAGATGTGATATATATTGTGTTTAGGCATAAATATGAAAATAAAATAAAAAAAAAAAAGCTAATTTACTTAATTAATGAGAGCTACACACAACAGAGAAACAATGCATTTGTTTCATACTGAATACCTGATTCATATTACATTAAAAAGTAACAGAATCGTTGACATAAATAAGTACTGAAACTAAGACTTCCCCTTGATAAAAATTCTACCCAAATAGGCTTCTCTCACTCCTACATTAACTTAAAAGTCTACTTTAATTAAAAAAAAAAAAAAATCAAGTAGCAAGCTGCGACATTAAAAGAAGCAACATTGAGTCCAACAGTTTAACCCTTTCCCACTGCTACAATAAATCACAAACTGTGTATAATAAAGGTCACAAATGGATTTTGCCTCTTGCTTTATGAATGTTCTATGCACATTTTAGCACATTTTAATTCAAGAACATTGACTGTTTGCATTATTATATGTATTTTAAAAAATTTAATTACCCGAGAACAGGAAAGGTAATAAGTTACCATGGAAGCACGACATGCATACATAAGGTACATGTAAGTTCAGACTTATACAAAAGTTATTACAAACATCCTCAAGTCATTTCAACCTCTAATTTGTATATTTAAATGCTAAAAATAGTGTCCCTTTTTTTTGCTTTAATTAAAAATTAGAGGACCCCTGAATATTGTTAACATGTAGAGAAAGGAAAGGTTTGAGGGTTTTTCTTATGAGGTAGCACTGCCCAAAATTAAAGAACATTAATGATGCCACTTTTAAGTAAGCGAATTAAAATATTTCACCAAAGGAAATTACATTAAGAACATCCTGCAGTTTCCAGGCAAAAAAAAATATAAATTAATTCATTCTCATAAGGTGAGCAGAAATTTTATGAGCAATAAGTATATAAAAGTCTTGATTTAAACAACACACGTAAAGGCCTATTTTATACAAAAATAGTGCAGGTGTGGTTGCTGAATCTCCTGCAGGAAAAATAAATAGCAAAAAAACAGGAAACCTCCCCCCAAATATCTGTTTTGAACCCAAGCAAGCATTACCCACATAAAGAGAAAGTCTTCTACACAAAGACCCTCCTCTCTGAGCCAACAACCAAATAAACAACAAAATCAAACTCTCCCTAGTTCAAATTTCCTTGGAGAGGCTCTTCCAGCACTTTGGGAAGCAAAGCACACAAATGATGTGTTCATGAATTCACCTTACCTGCACATGACTTCGTGGGTGAGCAACACTCTGCACATCTCGGGGTTCTTGTTCTGGCCTTCGTAAGTTATAGGCTGCAAAAATTAAGGGAAGGGGTAAGCCAGGAGCACCGGGGGTTCTTTATTCCTTAGATTATTCACAGGTGAGGGGAAGGGATTTTACCACTGCTCACCATCACCTGCAAATAAACACCTTCCCCTTTATGTGCAGGGGATAAATATGCAATATTGATGTGCAGCTCTACATAAATATTGCCACAAAGCAGTCTACAGAGGGAAAAAAAGAGACTTAAGAGCACAGTTTTCCATTACCCTCCAAAATAGGTCTGCAATACAGCTGAGCAAGAGACCAAAGGGAAGCAGAGGAGGAAAAACATGCGAGGAAACGTTGAGCAGACAGGAAGGATGAGGCGGGACAGGAGAGCGTGGCACAGATGGACCCTGCTCACCTGCTTGGTCACAGAATCGATGAGCCTCACATAGAGATCCTGTTCTGTCCTGACACCTGGAGCGAGGGAGAGCGGGATAAATAACATTCTCCAGGCATCTTGCCCCAAGAGCAGCAGAACAAACCCATTGAGAGCCGTGTTAGACACCCGCAGCATCCCAGGAAATTGTTTCCCAAGCCCATGTAAACTCCAGGGCCCATCCCTGCACGGAAGGGGCCTCATGCAAGGGAATTTCGGGATATTTTGGAAATCACAGGACCCTGCCTGGCTGCACAGCCCCCGGGAGGTGCCAGGGAAGGGCGCTCACCGTTGCTGTAGAGGAGCTGGAGTTTGTAGTGTGTGCCATTGTTCGTCTTCTCGTTGCCTTGCTCCTGAAAGGGAATTTGAAAGAAGCGGGGGGGAGAAAATCCTTCCAGAACTTACACTTGGCATATTTAAAATGCGAGAGGTGATAATCATGATGGGAGTGACAACAAAGTTGATTAAAATTCTAAGAGGTGAATCCGCGGATTGGGATGTATTAACCTTCCGAGTGACCCAGGACAAACCACAAAGTACTCCTGACATCTTTTCCTGTAGGAGTTCAAGAACTTCTTTCCCTCTCCTTTGCCACTATGCTCCCAACTTTTTCAAGAGACTACATTGAGAAGAATTTGTACGTTTCAAATAATTTAATATAAAGCAGATTGACAGCAGGAAAACACAATGGCTTCTGATTTTACTGTGTTCATTGCTTTGCAATAGTGTTCCTTTAAGTCAAAATTTATATTTGTTTCCTGAAGGTTGTGTTACAGGGATGTTTCTTACACACTTTTTAAAATGTAATTTCCTGTAAGATAATTATTTATGACTCACAGTTCAAAAAATCTTGTTCATGGCTAAGAAAATAATTGAAAAAATTGCAAAGTGGTCAAGACATGGAATTAAAACCCAAAAGCAAATGCTTTTCAAGTCCTGCCATTGACTTTGGAGCCTTAGGAAATACATATAACCACGCTCAACGATAATCTGACATATTTATCAGGTCAGATTCCACTTCTGTTTAGGTACTAATAAAACCTGGCTGATGTGGTAGGTAAAAAAAGCTAAGTGCATTTATCCCCCATGAATTTTATTTATTCTCGTTTTAGTGGGTGAATGAAATTCGTGATACAGAGCAGAGGCTTCCAACCCTTTTTAACTACAGCAGCACACACAGGGTTACAGCTCTACCACAGCACCTGAACCCTGACCAAACCATGGCTGTATTTTTTTAGGGTATTAGAAGCTGGCAGCTCAGCGAGGGGAGAAGACCAAAATTGGAGAGAAAAAGAGGAAGAAGAAGAGTAAGGAGCCTTACTTTATCATTTTCTACAAAGTCCACAAAAGCTGTCCTCTCTATTTCCACGGGCTGCCCCTGTCTGTCGTAGAGAGCCAGAACAAAGTGAAAGAAATTGGATTTCCTCAAGTTGGAGGGTGGCTGCTTTTCAAAGTGGGCTCTGGACAAAGCTACTCCGCTGTGGAGGAAACACACGGGATGGGGTGAGGGAGGAGAGACAAAGACATTACCAGGTTGTGCAGCAGTAAGGACAAAACAACATCAAAGGCAGAGAGCGCGTTCGGCTGTCCCCGCCGCCGCCGGCTGCAGGGACGGGACGGGACGGGACGAGCCACCGGAACCCGAATTTCGCTCCCTGCACACCCCGAGGACAACGCGAATTTACAGAGGGGAGTCAGTGCTAAAGGCAGCGCGTGTTTTCCTTCCTCCACTTATTTCCCTGCCTGTCAGCGCTGCTTGCAGGGTGGGAAGTGTCAGAGGCTCGGGAAGTGTTCTTTGCACATCCTGATCCCTTTTCCTCTAGGAGAAAACAAGCGACCCTAAAAATCTTTCCTACGGGCAGGATGTCAGCACGGGGGCATCCCCGTTTTGGGCAGAGACAAGGACTTTGGAGCAGAGCAGCCACTTCCCTCGGCAGCCAAGTTTGACTTTTGTCACTGACTTACTCGAACTGATTCCTGCAAATTGAATCTCTGATTTAAACTGAAAGAATTTAGTCTCGGGTTAACCAACCCTTGAGAAAATCTTGTCCCTGACTGCAGAAAATATTGTGATGTTTCCCACGCATTTCCCGGCTTCGAAAGATCCAAATGCTTCTGTTTACCCACAGTATGCCTCGCTGCAGCTTTATTTCTTTGTTAAATTAGTTGTAGTTCCCTCTCCCTAAAGCCAGTTTCTACTTACTGAGAAGAAAATAGGTGCACATGAGCACCTCCGAATTACTTAACAGACAGATTAAGTCTATGTGCCAGACTAGATAGGAGCTTTGCGTTTTAGTCCCCAAAATAGCTCCACAGTACTGGCAAAAGTATTTGACTCTTTCAGAGAACTACAGATGTTTCCCTGCGTTTTCCTTGCCAATGAGGAACGGTGTGAACTCACCACATCCGCCACAACTGCACCTAGCTTGGGGATTCCTCTCGTTCTGCGTGTAAAAATTGGGATTTATTGCTTTTTTAGGATATCTGGGAGAAAAACCTGGCGATGCCAGCAGGCAGCACGACGCGGCTGTACCTCCACCGCTCCGTGGATTGGAGTCTTGTCAGGAGATGTTTCCTTTTACTTTCAGTTTCCTCAAGGATAAACCTCTTCCCCCTCGACCGTATTTATTAAACGCTCTATCGACATTCATAAAACTCTGATAACTCCTCCCATGGCGCTTGGAAAACCTTGTTGTCAGGTCAGGCCGTGGGTGGGGGGCATGGATGTACTATTTCTAAAACATCCGTTTCATCTGAAGTCTCCTCTGCTGTTCCATGCCTTTCACGTTGTCTTTAATACTGAATAAAATCCGGCTTACTCCCGGGGTTCCCAATTTAGTCTTCTCCGAAGCTACTACTTTCTTTTTTAACTTTTTTTTTTTAAGTTATCCAAAAAGCAAGGAAAAAAAATTACCCAAAAGAGTTTTCATCGTCTTACCCCTAACGGGAAGAGACTGGGATAAGTGTCCTGTGCCGGCTGAGAAGAGAAAACAAAAAAGGGGACGTAAAGGGTGATAACCCTCCCAAACCAGTAGAAAGCAAAGAGCCAGGCCCCAATTTCGGGATGTTCAGAGCCATTTCAGCTCGGCAGAGACCTCTCGTTCGCTCGGGCAGGTGCTCCATGCGGGATGGCCGCAGGTTGCGGGATGGCCGCAGGTTGCGGGATGCCCGCGGGGATCCGCTGTGCCTGTGCCCTCCCCTGCTCCCTCGGACCCTGCTCTGCCTGAAACCACGGCTGAAGATTTCGGCAATGCCCACCGTGAATTAAGCGAAACAAGATGGGCCGGGGGAGCTCGCGTTTGACATCTGCATTTAAGTTAATTCTAACTTGGTCCCCTTCTGTTTGGCTGCCTGGCCCAGCAAGCAGGGAGGAGAACCCTGGATCGCTGGGAACAGCAAATCCAGAGCCCCACGCATCTTCCTGGGGCAGAAAAGAAAAGGGTGATCCCGTCTCGCTGTCATCTGAGCCCCGCACTGGGTTTTAGGACTCGCGATGCTCTCCGGTTTTGGAGCGCTGCTGCCTAGCTCTAGCCCCAGCCTTCACTTTTCGCTGACTGGAGGAGACCGGGATGGGGACAGAGAGGAAAAAAATACATTTAATATCAAATGCAAACAACAGGGTATAATGAAAAGATTTGCTTAAAAAAAAAAAAAAATAACAAGCAGGGGTAAAGTGGGAGAGAATTAGTCACAGTTACCTTTGTGCTGCTACGTTTGCATCCACAACTCCAACGTTTCTGACCCAGGACCTGACGGAATCCATCTCAGAACCTAGAGATTTATCTTTCAGAATTGGTCCTCTTCCTAAAGTATCTTGAATTCCAAACATTTAAAAAGTCTATGCCAACTAGCAACAGTTTCCTTTGGGGAGAGATAAGGGAGAAGGAAAAAAAAAACAAACAAAAAAACCGGCGCAGCCTTTGAATCTGACACACAAATCCCACGAAAGTGAAGTTCAGCTTTAAAACCAACTTCTTCTGCTTTTTAACGCTGCGTGTTTTTATCGCCTTCAAAAGGGGAAGAAAGTTTTTCCTCTTGCCAAGTAAAAGTTACGCTGCTTCAGTCTCGCCTTGGTATCACCATCCTTCACACGCAGACGAGGGAGCCGCATCCAGAAACCGATCGGCGCTGAGGATCACCTGTTCCTCAAACAGACAACGGGGAGAAGGATTGATCGCTGCCCAATCCAGGAAGAAGGGAGGAAGGAAAAATAAAAACAACAACAACAAAAAAAACAACAAACCAGCCGTGGGGTAAATCGCAGAAGAAAGGCAGAGCGGAGCGAGGAGCGGCCGGTCCCACCCGCGCGGGCAGCGCCGGCCGTTCCCGCGCGGCGACATGAATGGGTTACAGGGCGCGCGCCGGGGGCGGGGCTCCGCGCGCATAATGAGCTCTCATTTGCATCTCGCGACACGATTGGTTGTCTGGCCAGGTCGCGCTCCGCCCCCGCCCCCCCCCCACCCCTCCCGAGCGACTCCGGCGGGGCCGGGGTGGAAGGAGCGCGGCCGGCGCTGTCGCGGTGGGGATGGATGGATGTCGCGGTGGGGATGGATGGATGTCGCGGTGGGGATGGATGGATGTCGCGGTGGGGATGGATGGATGTCGCGGTGGGGATGGATGGGTGTCGCGGTGGGGATGGATGTCGCGGTGGGGATGGATGGATGTCGCGGTGGGGATGGATGGATATCGCGGTGGGGATGGATGTCGCGGTGGGGATGGATGGATGTCGCGGTGGGGATGTCGCGATCGAGATCTGCGGATGGGTCATGGGCATAGCCCGGCAGCCCCGCACCGAGCGGCGCTGCCCCAGACCGCACAAACTGCGCAAAAGCAGCGGGATCGGGATGGAAACAGCGCGCCCGCCCGCCCTGGCACAGCTGCAGGCAGGGCAGTCGCGAGTTTGTCGCGATTGATGCGCTATCGCCATGGCCCGGCAGCCCCGCACCGAGCGGCGCTGCCCCAGAATGTCAAAACTGCCCTAAAGCTGCGGGACCGGGCTGGTAGGAGCACGCCGGCCGCAGTCCAGGCGGGGGAACAGCGGGTTTATCGCGATGGTTTATCGCGATGGGGTATGGCCAGGGACCGGCAGCCTCACCCCGAGCGGTGCTGCTGCCCCGCACGGCGCCGAGTGCGCTGAAAGCAGCGCGGGACGAGCGAGCCCGTCCCGGGACAGCGGGGCTCGGGCTCATCGTGGGGTCCCGGCAGGCTCACACCGACCCCAGAACCCCGAACCGCCCTAAAAGCAGCGATCTCCATCCATCCCACCGCGCTGCCCTCCCAAAGCCGCCGCTTCGCTTCAGGCGCGGGATTTAAAATAAAAAATTGCTCAGAAGGAGAGAAATGGGTCTGGGGGAGGGTGCAGGCAGAGGCTGCCTGCAAGGCAAGAGCCAGCCCAAGACTGCCAGGCACCCAGCAGACCCCAAAGTTACACCCTGAGAGCTGTCAGGTCTCACCTTAAAACTTTTTATAACATCCCATGTAGGCAACATTTCCCATTAAAGGAAACCGGAGCACTTCCCAGCCCGGCCCGCGGTGACTCGGGACCATTCTGCGTTTATTTTAGCTTATTTTTTTAATCTGCCCTGCCTTGGCGATATTTTCCTCCTGGCCCTTTTGTATTCTGATCTGTGTATAGATCTGCCTCTGAAACCTATATAACACCAAGGCGAAAACAGATTTCAAGACAATGAATGCAAATCTGTGCTCAGAGACCATCTGCCAGATGAGGGAATCAGATGTTCGGTAGTTAAAGGCACAGTGCAAGGATTCAAGGATTTCCTTGACTTATGTGCAGCTCCTCTCTTTAACCTGCTTGAGTTTTTGGGGGTTTAGGGGTTTGTTTGTTTGTTTGGGTTTTTGTTGGGGTTTTTTGTTTTTATTGGGATAGAACTATAATTTCCATTTCCGAATAAATCGGAACTCCTTCCATCCACGTTAAGCCGCGATACAAAATGCCACCTATGAAATGCTAGATTATTTTCACGTAGTTTTATACAGTTCTCTCCAAAAAGAACCTCACATTTAAATCTTCCCATGAAACTTTCATTAAAATGTATCCTTAATTCAGGCACGATTGAGGGCAAAACCGGGACTCAGATTTATTCTGTCTACATAAGTGACAGACATGGTATTGGATGAACTAATACATCTCATCCAATCTTTGTTCGAGGAAATTTGCCATGCTAACCCACCTCTCCAAATTGATAAATATGCAGGAAATGATTTTGCCAGGTTAGCAAAAGGCGAGGTTGGCGTTATTTTAACGTTAGATAAAAGCACCAGCAGTTTGACGGAGCTAGAGGGTGGAGACTAATCTTTCAAGATATGATCTTAGCATCTCTGACATGTAATTTCTCTGTATTAAAAAGCCCAAAGAGGGCAAGATATTTTTAAAAATACTAAAAAAAAAGTGATAAAACAGACCATGTAAGATAAATATATAGTAAGTATACTACAGTAAATATATATATGCGATGGTAAGGCATATTATAGTGCGGCTTTTTTACCACTTTGCAATAGGCGTGGGTACATTTGCTCGAATAAAAGCCCTCTCTTTGTACCAAGAGAATTTCTGGCAATACCGCTCCGACCGTTCCTACGTTTGTTCCTAAGCGCTGGGCAGGGGCGGAAGGGGAGGGGGCGGAATTCCCTCTGGCTGCAGCCTTGGCCGATGCGTTCATAACCGAGAACGCTCCCTGCGAGCCCGAGACCACCTCCCCCGGAGATAAAGCCGAGCCCATCCCCGCAAGGTCGGGTCCAGCCCCGGCCGGCGGCTCCAGCTCCGCGAACAAAGGGGACTCGTGTGCCGTGGCCCCGGGGGACCCCCGCTTTTAGGGATTCGGGGAGGGTCAGAGGGCACCACACAGGTCAGGGGAGAAGCGCTCCCTTCGCCCCAAACAGCTGCCACCAGAATTTGGCACTCGAGGCGCAGATGCAGGAGCATCGTCCCCCCCTGGCCCCGCGGGAGCTGGGGCTGTGGGGTGCCCCCTCCCCACCATGGCGGGGGAGCTGCAACGCTCCAGGCAGGGGAAGGGCTTTGGGGGACACAAGTTGGTCCCCCAAGCAAGTTTCTCGCCTTTCAGATAGGCTGCAAGAACGCAGGAATGATCCTTGAATACTTCTGAAATTATAGACTGCTGACCTTGACTCCTCATTTCAAGCCCGAACTGTATTTAAACAAAAAGCTCAGACTCTTCTGATGCAAATTCACTCAGGGGAAAAAAAAATAAACAAAAAAAAAGACCAACAAAAAAAACCAAAACACCAATGTTTATACCCGTGCGACCGCCGATAAATCTGCATTTACACTTTAGATGTTTCTGCAGTTCGGCTCGGGGAGTCGTATCCACCGGCAGGTAAAGGGCACCGCGGAACTCCGGCAGGGAAAACAACTCCAAAAGAACCTTCCAGAGCCCGGTAAAGCGAGGGGAGATCCAGCCGAGCATCTGCCGTGCCGTCAATACAGCAGTACGGTCACAGACACAAACGGGAGCCGCAGCTCGCGAAGGGGCTCCGGAGCCGAGGGATGCGGGAGCGGCTCCGAGCCCGCGGCTGCCCGGGCTCGGGCCGGGCTCTTCCCGCATCCCCCGGCCTCGGGGTCCCTCCCGGCCCCCCCAATCCCCACAGCTTTCCAGGCAGCGGGTTTCGCTCTGACAATCGCTTCAAGCGATTTTCTCCCTCGGACTAAAAGAGACAGCGTGGGGAGGGAGGGGGGGAGAGGGTGGAAAGCAACTGGTTCGGTGAGGGCTGATCATTTCCTTCTGGAGGAAGAGTTATTCCCCTCCAGATTGCCGCACTCGTTTCCACATGCAGGGGTCAAAATGATAGGTGAGGCAGATTTGACGTGGTAAAAAGAGATGCTCGTCTTTGTTAGCAGGTTTTTAACAGCGTCGCTTCATACACCGGAGTCAACTTTCACTCCTCGGCACATCTCAGCTACTCCCACAGGAAGAAAGATGGATAGAAGATAATATTTAGCCCATTTAAAAGCATAACCTTAAACTACTATTGTTTCCTCTAACGTTTAAGAGGAGAATGTCAGCCAAAAAAAAAAAAAAAAATTAAACTAAGCCTAAAGATTACACACTTACAAGGAAATATTTAATTCTTGTTCCTATTAATTTGTGAGAATTCACCAACCTTCAGGTGCCTCAAGGGAACGAATTGTAGGTTAAAATTATGAATGTCAGAACGGAGAAGGACAACTAATATATTTCCTTCTTTATCCACTAATCTCACTGGAAGGTTCATTTTTCGAGTACACCTGTACCAGAAAAATAAATGTGCCTTTTAGAAATGTTTTATTAAGCTGGTAACAGCTTGAGGTTCTGAGTCATGCATTCAAGCACATGTCAACTGCACTTTTGGCAATATAGTAACGGTATTCAACAAACAAAGAAGTCCCCGAAAACAATTTTCAAGTGCCGAATATCAGCATAAACAAAATATTTACTTGCACGGGATAGCTTGCAGCTTGCGATAGAAATGTGGCTACAAAAACCAGGAGCAGGCTGAGTCCCAAGCTGTGGAATGCGGAGTGTGAGGAGGGCAGTCAGAGCACTGCCTACAGAACCAGCCTAGAAAACTGCTCCAACCGATGCAAGAACTTACAAGACTTTCCATTTAACTAAAAGAAAAACATACAAAATGAAAAAAATGCTTCTTAACAGGGGAGATTTGAAGTAGTTCTGGTGGGTGCAACTAAATCCTGAAAGCAGCTTGAGTTCTTAACTGTGAAAACTGCTAAACAGGGTCTAAAGTGTTGCTTTCCATCATATTTATTATAAACCTAGTTTTATACAATCAGCTATAAACCTAGCTTTATACAATCAACACATTTCTCAGAAGAGAACTCTCCATCTGATTGCTAGAAAAAGTTGAACCTCCAAGCATGAAACAATAGATCCTCATCACAG